GGTAGGACAAATCGGTGGGATGGGAACGGGAGCTGGAGGACCCGATGAGGGGATGGCAGGAGGGGTAGGACCCGCAGGAGGAGGTCCGGCGGAAGAGGTGGGTAGCCAACAGAAACCTTATGGATTATTAGGCCTGGCAGCGAAAGTTGGAAGCATAGCTTTGAAGGGAACAAAGGTAGGAAAGGTAGCAGGTAAGGTGGTTGGCACAGCAAGTAAGGCAATTGGCTTATCTGGTAAGAGTAAAAGCAGCAAAGGTGTAGGAAGCCTTGCAGGTGGCCTCGGAGGAGGCGCAGTCAGTCCAGTAGGAGGGTTAGGAGGCCCAGTAGGAGGACTAGCACCCCCAGTTGGAGGCGCAGTTAGCCCAGCAGGAGGGCTAGGAGGTGCAGCAGGTAGTATAGGAGCCCCAGTGGGAGGCGCAGCAGGAGGTATAGGAGCCCCAGTGGGAGGAGTAGGTGGCCCAGTAGGAGGATTAGCGCCCCCAGTTGGAGGCGCAGTTAGCCCAGCAGAAGGGCTAGGAGGTGCAGCAGGTGGTATAGGAGCCCCAGTGGGAGGCGCAGCAGGAGGTCTAGGAGCCCCAGTGGGAGGCGAAGGTGGCCCAGTAGGAGGAGTAGGAGGCTCGGAAGGAGGATTTGGAGCAGGTATACCTGCTCCTCCAGAAGGTCCAGTAGAAGGAGTAGGTGGCCAGGAGGGAGGGGCTCTTCCCGCAGAGGGATCAGAAGGTCTAGGAGGAGGTACTGGTAAACTGTTTTACTTTATATTTTGGCTTTTTGCTTTCACTTATCCTCTATAAATACAAAGAACCAACTAGCACAAACGTTTTTCTCATGTTCTCTTGACATGTCGGATTGGTAATCCTGCAGAGGGAGCAGCTGGTGCCGCACTAGAGCCAACTACCTCTCCCACAATGGGAGGCACGGTGGGGACTGAAAGTCTGGGAGATGGGAAGCAACAGCCAATTGGATGGAAAGGTATGTTGTTTCGATTTCTTTGCCTCGACGTAATGAATTGGCATCCGATAAGGCTAATAAACAAGTCGATTTGCATCTGGTGGTTACGAACACGAGGCTAGCTTTTTTGCGCTGTAAATCTGCTGAAATGATGCCTTTGTCAAATTTTTTTGGTTATTTTGTGTTACACTAGTTATAACATAGAGAGCAAGAGTGCTGATTGGCGGAGACACCGGGAATTTCTCCTTAATTGTAGTAATTGCCTCAGGAAAAACTTCTTGATATTTTAGACTGTGAATTGAACACGCTTTATGGCTCGTGCAATGTTTCTAGCCTTTGGAAAAAATACTGATGCTTCACTATTCCAAATTGCACGAGAAATTACGCGATTACTAGTGCTAATGATGTAAAATGACTACTAATACAAAAACTGGTTTGGTTTTATGGCATAACTGAATGGCTATTCATTTAATCTTTATTTCGCATTCCAAGGTGGAAAATCAAAGTTTCCATAAACTCTGGAAAGTGTAAGTCTTAAAGAGAGCTAATTGCTTCTGTTTGCTTTCCTCTTCTCATTGTAGTTCCTCCGCCCAGGGATGGCTTGAACGCTAAACATACTGGGTTTAAGAAGCCACGAGGCGAAGACCTCGGGCTGTTAAACAGCAAAAAGAAAGGTCATATTTCTCATCACAAACATGGTTAATTCCTGTTTTAGCTGGGCTTCTCGATACATTGTTGGTAAAGTGTAAGATAAAATAGATGTCGGGCGAGCAAAGTCTTGTCCTGGTTTGTCTTGCAGTGGTTGCCATGGTTTGTTTACGCTTTTATTTGTATGTGTTTTCAAAGTATAAGAGAAACAATGAAAACGAAATAGCATAACAATAATCGCTGATTGTTTTTGTCTTTTTGTGGCAATATTTTCTTTCTTGCTGCTTTATTGTTCCTCAAATTGGCCGCGAAGCTCAGCCGACCCCGTTGTGGCATTTGAATTGTTAACGAAAGCTGCCTTCCATTGCTTGTCCAAGAGCGTATGCCTCTTAACTGTTGCACAATAGCTGTCCTTATTAAAGTCTCCTTCCGGCACATTTTGGGTAAACTCTCCTACCATGTTCCCAGCCGGTCTATATATAGCCACAATATATGCACAGTTCATGCCGTTTTTCTTTCCTGAAGCTATTCCAATGCCAAGAACTATGCTTTCTTTCCACACTACTTGAGTGAAATGGCCTATTCCAGCGCTAAAAGAGGGGATATAAAAGTCGTATCCCGGACGACAGACTTCGTTGTACCTTGAAAATAATAGAGAAGGAAAGAGCAAAAAAAAAAAAAAAAAAAAAAAAAATTTATATGATTTGCAAAGGCAGATATTTAGGATCAACACCTTTATAATGAACCACTTCTTATCCTTTGATCAACCCTGGACAAAACTGTGCTCGTAAATTGGTAGGGAAATAAAAGAAAACTGGTTGATTGGGCAACGGTAAGATGGTAATGGGGCGGAGAAAGGCTCCGCCTTTCAGCGATGCTTCATTTCTTGACCCAATGAATAGCGTTATTTATTTCTTTTTTTTACTGGTACAAGTAAGTGCATCGTGGGTACCCGGTCACCAGCCATACCCGGTGGTATGAGCGACCTGTTTCTTTGCACAGGCCACTATCACGCAATGCTCAGAGTTTTCAATAATTGTATTCTTTGTTAAATGAGGCGACGTTAGCGAAATTGTCATAACCCAGCATTGAACGCCACCTTATTCCTGGATGGTGGCAACGCAGGCGGGGAATGTATCATTTTCAGATTTATATTTAAAGATCTGAAAGGAAAAGAAGCTCTTTGAAATATTTGACCAAGTCCTCCTCATTGCCCTATTTGCAATAAGTACCTTTATTATCCAATTACACCTAGACGAGAACAAATAACACCATAGACGAGTGCAAATATCACGCGGTATTTGTACTCGTCTATTGTAAAGTACAGGTTAAACAGGTTTTCTCGCATCGCGCAAGCGAAGAATTGGATTGTAGTTACGAAAAAAAAAAAAAAAATGGCGGACAATTTGAATCATATTTCCGACGACGAAGAGTCAGAATGGCTGGCAAATATAGATCCAAGTTCATTAGATGAATCGAAGGAAGAAAAACAGCTTGACGACCAGAAAATTTCTTCATTTAATGAAGAAAATAGAAACAGCANAATACACAGTGGTATGATATAAAATGAGTCGTTTGACAGTAAAACCTGATTAATTTTCGGGATGGTCTAACACTATGGAGTTACGATACTCCTTGCCACTACATGCTACCACGGAAACTGGGGTAAGTTCTGGAAGCAAGGCAGTTCAGTCTCTTATGCAAACTTAAGTGACACGCAAAATAAATAGATGAAGGCAGTTCAATAATCAATTAATCATTATGATTGGTTGAAAACAGCGTGCTTTATGTGAGAACAGTTTCAAAACGAGCCCGAGCACGATAAAAAATTTAGATCCAAATTAATGTTCCCCGTGGAAAGACGCTGTGAGTATGAAGAATTTGTTTTTATCGTCCATCTTTCATACTCCTCGTCGTTGACCAGCAGGATAATGCAAAATTCATGAGTCAAAAGGAAAAAGAAGTGTGATGTTAAATTGAGATAGATCAACAAAGGAAACTGTTTTTACCTACTTGGGCAGCAGCAATGGAAAATAGAAGAAACCAAAGCAACATTCTTTAAATGCTGTCCTGTATGCAAAAGGCAAATTAAGATAAGCAAATAGGAAAGACTTCGAAAAGGACCCGGGATGTGAGTGAGCAATCTTTACATGATTTTTCAATTTGAACCTACCGAGGGAGGTCTTTAGATATAAAGATAAAGCCTGTTAAGAATAAAAAAATTGTAATTATTTAGCCATTTAATGGTTAACTCGTTGCCCCGGTGATTTTGACAAATTTACCGCTTTGTTGTTTCGCGGGCGCACTTTTGACACGTAAGAGACGAAGGAAGAAAAAGATCGTTTGAGACTTCGTAGTTCATTCCAACGTGAAATTAAAAGGTAAAATCAATTGCTCTGTGTGACGACTTCTTTGGATATTCACCGTTCTACGGATTGGGAACAAGGCCAGTTTCACCAATGTGGATGTTAAAAAGTACATTTAGTCTATTCTGATGGGCGCGAGATTTTAGACGGCGGAGTGATCGTACTTAACAAGTCTCATGACCAGTCTAACCAATTTATTTTTGCCTCTATATCCTCATCCTCGATTGAAATATCAAAAACCCTTTTTAATAGTGTACCAGGTTAACTAAATCTTATAAGGGAATTTTATAAATCAATATGCGAACGATCTCTAAGCACTTAAAAAAAATCCTGACAGTTTTCGCCTTGTAATCAGAATTACTCATTGACAACTTGATTTGACCTTAACCTTAACAGTGACACAACAGTGCTGGGTTTTCTTCTTTAAAAGATGATGTTCTTCAAATCTCTTACCAGAAGTCAGTTGTAGTTTGTTGCCAGCAGTAGTAGGTGATATTTACCCTGTTAGGTAGCACTGTAAAATAATAACGAGCTTAAGATCCTACGACGGCAGACATCTGGGACGGCAAGCGGAAATGAAGTTACTGCCAGAATTACTTCCGGTTGCTGTCGTTGTGAGGTTTCCAGCCGTCGCGGCCTTGTCTGTGACGTGAAGAAAGCCATTTTGCCGTCGCGGCTAGAACGTGAGTAAAGTTTAACAAAACAAAGCCATTTTAACTTACTTTGAGCGAAAATTGTTGGCAATTTTGACAGTTTATTGTTAACAGAGGATGTCTGTGAGATAGCTAAGCAAAAATAAACGATTTGTTAGAGGAAATTTTAACTTTATTCATTTGCCTTTCTCATTAACAGTTCATCACTAGTACTGGGTCGATGTCAACAAAGAAAGCAACCCAGTAAGTTTTACAATTTCAGTATTTCTCTTTATTTCAATGAAAAATTTGTAAACTTGTTCTGGCTTTAATTTATGGGCATGATATTATTCTATTTGTCTATTCTCGAGTTTAACAACAAGGCTTATCTGAGAAAATTTTCATAATCAACAGTTTCCGTAATGTTTTTCAAGCCATAAAAAACGTCTTTGATTCGGCGTGAAACTGATAGTTTGCTGCTGGAAATTGGTTAAACATTTATCAACAAGATAAGATTATACCTGTATTATGCTGTTTTCCATGTTATGATTCAAATTGGTGAGAAACGATTGGATTTCCAAGGTCGCGATTACGCTCTGAATTGAACAGACGGCCAGTAGGTCAACTACATTCATGTAATTTATTCGCGAAGTTGTTATACATTTTGGCAATACCTGTCTCCCCAAGATGAAGTCCTCCTCTATTTAAGTCCGTTGAGTGAATGTCATCGAGGAGTATGAAGTGCCACTGACGCTGATTGCAGAATTTTTTAGTTTTCTTAAAATCCACAAATTTAAAATAGTTAACAATATCCCTAAAAAGCCATTCTACTGAAATGCGGACATTGCTCATTGACTTGTTAAACTCTTCCATCTGAAGAGTGATACCTGTAGCGCGATATGGCACAACAAGGTGAACTCTTAATGGGTAAGCAGGGTCACCGTATAAGGCCATGGGGTTACTAGTGGGAGAAAAAGCATTGTGTTCAAGGATTCGCAGAAGGCCAGAATCAGCTAACATTCCAGCATCGTGTTTGCGGCCCTCTGGAAGAAAATGCTCATTTTGATTGAAAATTGTGTTCTGTACTTTAAAAAAAAATGCGTTTTATTTCTACTACTTGATATGTTTCACACCTAAAACTGCTTTCACCTATCTATCACTCTGCTTGTATTTACCGTGTGACAGATGGTTCTCGTGTGACTAAAAATTGAAAGGAATAATTTCCATTACCTACTGGCCCGTACATGTTGGCTATTATACCACAGGGCAATGCAACAGATTGGTATTTCAATCCGTGGACTCTTTTGTGTCCGTTGTACACAATTCCTTGGTTTTCTTGTGGTCGGCAAATGGGTCTTACTGTACCATCTATGAAGCCAAAGCAATTCGGCAGGGGACTTCCTTTCCTTTGTATGGCATCAGCATATCTCTGAAGTAGAGGGGGGCTCATTAAGGTGTGGTTCCATGCTGTCAGACGGTGATGATGTAAGCCGTACACAGTTTCCAGTACATGATTAGTGATCATACAAATTGCTGGTACTGGGCGGCCAAAACGATGGATTAGGTCACTGCACCTACAAGGGTACGCTAATCTTCTCAACAAAAGACAAAGGCCTTCAATTCCATCACATACAGTCCCTTGTTCACATGTATACGAATCAGGCAGCCCCATTGCGTCTACGAGAACAGGTATATCCCTCTTTCGGAAACGAAACTCTGCCAAGCACTCACTTTCGTCGAGTCCTTCCGGGTCAAAATGTTCGTAATTCTGGTAGGGATAATCGAGATTCTTTGAAGTGTTGGCATCGTACAACAGTAAAAATTCATCTTCTGAAATGTCACCATCATCAAAACTTGTTATCAACAATTNCAACACAACAACGCGCCAATTCCGTTCCGCTTCGCATACTTCTGTCACGCACTCCCCGTAAATAAATATCCGCGAAATTCGCCCGCACTGAAATAACAGTTTGGCGTGTTGGATAATAAATAACTTATTAGACGTTTTGTTGTGTAGTATCGCTGAGTATTTTTACTCGTTATTTGTATTTTGACTCGCCCTATGGGCTCGTCAAAATACGGCACAACTCGTAAAAATACTCAGCGATACTACACAACAACACGTCTAATAAGATATATATACATGAAGGGATGGAATCTCCAAACTTTTGGCCCTTCTCACTTCAAACTGGTTCTAAAAATAATTTCTCTACTTTAAGCAACTCTTTGGTATAGAGTCCATCGTTTAGTACCGTCGCATATCATTTTTCTAAAACGCTGAGGCGGAGCATTTCTAAGACGAAGTTTTAAGAATAAGTCAAGGTTGTGATTATGAGTCCCTGTAATGAGATTTTAATTACCCTGATAATTGACATCTGTCTTTGGAGCATTTTATTAAGAGGTAAAACTTAGAAACATTTCTTCGAAAACCTGATTAAAGAAGTAAAATTGAGCCCACCAGTTTTTCACGGCTTGCTCAGCGGTTTGCGGTGAAGCGCTTGATGAACATCCCATAAATAGATTTTCTTCCTACCCATGTCTTTCTTTATTCTTTGAATGCTTAAGAGTACCCATGCGTGCAAGCCGCCTGGGCTATTGACGAGCTAAACGCTTTACAATCAGTGAGCATAAAACAGAGAGAAACAAATGTTGAAAATGAACATTGAAATCTCAGCTTTCAGAGACGATGCTATGTTCAGTGAAAAATGATTGTTAAGTTTTAAAATCACATCCGCAAAACTAAACCAAACAGGATAGACTGAATCAACAAACCATACCATCACATTGTGCCGGCTGTTCTTTCCCTATCAATGGAACTGCACCTCCCAATGGAATTCCTGTGGCAAGTCCTGGTTTTTTGTCCTTCTATCTCAATTTGTAACTTCAAATGGGTTGTGCCGTTCTGTTTTAATATCCCGGTGCCAAAAATTGTAATAAGAGAATCGTGGCCCAGGTCTGCAACAACCAAGGAAAAGGATGTATCGGTAGATGATAAGTTGTTTTCAAAATAAAAATACGATATGGGTTTAAGCTTCGACAAAGGAACTTGTGGGCTGATCTTGGATAGGAAGACATTTTATTCTAACAGTGCCTCTTTCTACACAATGGTATGAATTAAAATGAGTCGTTTGACATATTGATTAATTTTCGGGATGGTCTAACACTATGGAGTTACGATACTCCTTGCCACTACATGCTACCACGGAAACTGGGGTAAGTTCTGGAAGCAAGGCAGTTCAGTCTCTTATGCAAACTTAAGTGGCATGCAAAATGAATACATTATGACTGGTTGAAAACAGCGTGCTTTATGTGAGAACAGTTTCAAAACGAGCCCGAGCACGATAAAAAATTTAGATCCAAATTAATGTTCCCCGTGGAAAGACGCTGTGAGTATGAAGAATTTGTTTTTATCGTCCATCTTTCATACTCCTCGTCGTTGACCAGCAGGATAATGCAAAATTCACGAGTCAAAAGGAAGAAGAAGTGTGATGTTAAATTGAGATAGATCAACAAAGGAAACTGTTTTTATCTACTTGGGCAGCAGCAATGGAAAATAGAAGACACCAAAGCAACATTCTTTAAATGCTGTCCTGTATGCAAAAGGCAAATTAAGATAAGCAAATAGGAAAGACTTCGAAAAGGNCAATCATATATAACAAAGTAATTTATATTTGAAAAACAGCAACGTCTGTATTATAACAAGGTCACCCTTAGCCTTTCTCCTGTTCAAAGGCTTGAAAACTAAGCACGCAACTGTAAAATTGACTATTGTCCTCACAGTTTTCGCCTTTTAACTCAAGCAATTCTACCTCAGCTTTGCTGGGTAGCCTCGAGCTTATTTTCAAAGGCCGAATTTGAAACTTCATCTAAGCGAATATCCGCGTAACAAGAACGCAAAATTGAAACCCACCAATTTGTCACGGCTTCTTCTATGGTTTGTGGAGCACGTATTGAACATCCCATGGCAAGATTTTCTCCCTGGCCACTTCTTTCTGAAGACGGCGAATGCATCAAGCTACCCATATTTGAAAGCGTTTGGGCGTACTGTTTAGCCTCATCACACATTTGTCTGTCCAGTGTCATCGCAGGAACCCCATGAACTTGTCGAAATTCATTGTGCTTTGCTAAACCCTGTTCTTCTTCTTCGGTAAAAGCTGAAAGAATGTAGGCAAAAAAAGCCAAAAAATGTGATATGATCAAAATTGATGAAAATAATTCATAATTCTGGTGTTCAAGAGAAGCACAAAGCTCTCCACACTTATGGTTTCTGACGCTGAGACTGCGATGTAGCCTGAAAGTCCTTTGACACATCATGTCTAGGATATAATAGAATGTGCAGTACGTTTGTCATGCTGTATTACAAAATTTTATCTCATGTGATGTTTCGCCGTTTTGTCATGTGTAGCGAATGAAGTCTGTCAACTTTTCATTTTCTGTAGAAATGAGATGAAAGAAGTTTTAAGATCAAAACTAATTAAACATTGATGTAACATACTTCCCCCTGCTCCCGGTAATTCTGCCCCAATCAGTGGAGCTGCTCCTCCCGTTGGACTTTCTGTTGGAGTCTCTACTCCTGTTATCTGAATTTGAAGGTTTAAATCGATTTTACCATTTTTATTCGCCGTCCCAGAACCAGAAAGATTAAAACTTTGAGCATTCTGGAATACATCTGCAACAAAAAAAATTCGGTGGGCTCATTGATAAAACTGGAAATTATTTATTCACCTCGAGAAACACCTCAAAAATATCGGAATCTATTGGTTTTCAAATCTGTAACCTTACTTAGATTTCGTTTAAGTAACCTGCCCTATGTATTTTCTGCTTTATTTTTTTTTTCGATTAATAAAACTACCCACTAGCAGCAGTACTGACATGTTATCATCAGACCGAACTGCCGTACCTCTAAGATGCTCCTGTAGACCCCTTTGTAATTGACCTACGGTATGGTGAAAGTTTGATCAGTAACATAGAAGATAATAGTTAAGTGTAAGATAAAGCAATCAATAAGGAATATTCCTTACCTCCATCGACTGCTGTAATGGCAAGCAAGAGATAACAAATCCACATTCTTTAAATAGGAAATCCTGCATAAAAAAAAAAAAGAAACAAAGGGATGAAAAGGAGATATATTAAAGATACGTTTTATGTGATCAAACAACCAACGTTTAAATCTTATTCTCGTGTAGAGTGGTTAATTTGAATGAATCGAGGAATGACTTTAGAAAGGTATTGACGATGACAAGTTTTATCATGGATCCCCGATGGAGATATACCGACATTTGTAAAGTTATGACTCATACCTAGGTGATATCTAAAACCTCAAAACAAACCAATGAGTAAAACAAACNAAAAAAAAAAAGAAACAAAGGGATGAAAAGGAGATATATTAAAGATACGTTTTATGTGATCAAACAACCAACGTTTAAATCTTATTCTCGTGTAGAGTGGTTAATTTGAATGAATCGAGGAATGACTTTAGAAAGGTATTGACGATGACAAGTTTTATCATGGATCCCCGATGGAGATATACCGACATTTGTAAAGTTATGACACATACCTAGGTGATATCTAAAACCTCAAAACAAACCAATGAGTAAAACAAACAAAAAAGGAAACAAGAAAGAGGGAGAGAGAAACAAAACAAAATTAGAAAAGAGAAAAAAAAATACGGCAGGTCCCCGCGGTCTCGATGAAAACGGAAAATGGTTAATTGAACCAATCAAGGATCTTAACTGCGAAATGTTCCCGTAATTTTTCCTTTTTCTATTTTAATAATGTTCTTCCTATTTTTTGAAAAATCAAAGTTAAAAACTTAAATTTTCCTTTAGCAATTAGGTACACATTTTGAATACTAGTGGTAACAATGCTTACTTAAATCATTAAAAAGTCTTCTAAATATAGCACTTGTAACCAATTATCATTTTACCCTAAGAAATGACACAAATAAAAAAAAAATATGCGGAGATGTCTACTTTTAAACAATGTTCTTCAAATCTCTTACCAATTACTTGTCGAGTTTTGTTAACAGAATATGTTTCCTCTGCCAATTAGTTAAATGAATTAACGTCCTCAGTTCAATAGTTGTATTTCTCAGTTCACTGAGAAGAAAGGCTATTGGTTTATGCTGGACAATTACCTGTATGTTTCTAACGATTGAATAGTCACCTTTTTACGTAATGCATGGTAAGTTTTGCAGGTGGTGACCTTTACACTGTGACTTAATTAAATGGTTACAAAAGTAAATTTTGAGGGAAAACCCATATTCGAGAAAGTCCTTTTCGTTTTAATGGTCACAAATGTTAATGTTGAAACAATTTTTTAGAACAATGTTCTTCAAATCTCTTAACAGAGACTTGTCAAGTTTTGTTAACAGATCGTGACAGAACAGAAGATGTTTGCTCTGTCAAGCAGTAAAACGAATAAATATTCTCAGGTAATTAGCTGCATTCCTCCGTTTACGGAGAAGAATGGTTATTGGCTTATTCTGGACAGTCACCAGTTTGTTTCTAACGACTGAAAAGTCAATGTTTTACGTTTTGGTAAGTTTTAAGTGGCGAGGTGACCTTTACACTATGACTTAATTAAAGGGTCACAAAAGTAAATTTTCAGGGAAAACCCATATTCTGGAAAGTCCTTTTCGTTTTGTATTGTATTTGGTAAAGCAAATGTATGAGATCGCCAGCATAAGAAAATTTGGACATCACACATAATCGAAGAAAGATTTCATCTGATTTTTCAATGAAAATCTAGCCAATTTACCATACTGATTTATCAAGCATCTTACTTTCCGTAATTATAATTATCCTCTGTTTGCGCTTGTTGCATAACTCTCAAAGAAGATAACTCTGTTGTCCTAAAAGCTGTTTATGAATTCGAAAATTTGTGTTGATGATCTTTAAAAAGCCGAGTTTAGGATAGTTTAGAACAAATATTATGTTGACGTCCCGTTGCAACGACTGCTAAGTCTCTTCTGAAACATAACGGGGCGACGTTTTCGACCCAATTTCTTACTGGTATTTCTGCTGCGCGCGCAGTTGTCAACTGACGTTTCCGTCCTCTTGCTAAATCTCTCTGTTGTTAGATCGAAACCGACCTCACGAGCCAATCGGGCAGTATTCAAGACGTCGACACAGTTTTTCTCTGTAGGAACCTCCTTGCTGGTGAATAACATTAATATTCTTTTTTAAACTTAGGGAAATGTTTTACAATTTAGGTCTATAATTACGGTAAGATCTTCCGGAAGATGAACACTCTTTTAGCTGATAGATAGTAAACAAAAAAAAGGTGGTGCAATCTTAATTTATTTTAAAAGAAAGAAGCTTCACCGAAGAATTCTTATTTGCGAAATGACACAGGTGATTAAAAAGGCTTTCAAGCAAAATTTGAAATTATTTTTATGAGTGGCTGTCACGATATGAGACCTGTCAATTAGGGAGAGCGTAGGAAAAAGTAAGGATGGGTTGATACCGTTTATCCTAATCGATACGATACCAGTACGATATTAACGTTTTTCTTCGATAACGATATCGATACCGCGATACTGTGAAGTAATTAAGTTAAATGGTAAGTCATGTGATTTGATTGACGAAATATAGGGTTATCTTACACTGTGGAATGGAATTAGGTTATTTAGCGGCTTGAAATCGTGACCAATGTCTTAACTTAAAAATACTGCGTAGCCTAGCCTAGCCCGGCCTCGCCTTTACTTCGTACCAAAAATAGAGGAGCTTTTGAAATTCTAAGACAGAGCCTGTGAAAAACATGACAAGTGGAGTGGCTCTAAGGTTCTGAGTCTTAAAATCAAAACTACTTTTCTTTGAAAGCGCTCTTATGAATTTTTTCATTTCTTTCGATCACCAGTCTCAGACTTCCATCAGCACTATTTTGTCTTACCTTTCTGCTGTCGAGGTTATTAACTCCTTATTTGATTACCCTTACCAAATACAACTCAGACCTCTTTAGCTCTTTCGGCTATCACTTACAAAAAGTACCTTTCACAGGTAATTTACCACCCTTCGCTACCTTATGCCTTTCGCAGGTAATTTACCACCCTTGGCAGCCAAATGCATAAAACAAAGTTGACTATGATCTAATTTCAAGATATTTCGAACATTTCTCATTTCCTGGTATCTTAAACATACTAAGTTACGCTTCGAATATTTCGTAACGCCTACAAGCTAATTCGCTTTCTTCACCTTACTTTGTAGAGAGCTCGAAAAGTAATTTAAAGAGTTCAAAGTCCTTGATGCAACGAATGAATCAATGTTTTTTA